CCACAGTATACCCCATGATTGCATTAACATACACAGCTATGGTTTAATAAAAAAAAAAAAAAAAAAAAAAAAAGAAAAAAAAAGAAAAATCTTTATCTTGAATACCTGTAGGCCACTTAACATATATGTAAAGTCTTTCCACAAGCATTTCCTCATTTATCTGAAGAATTTAATTAATGACATGATTACTATCAGCAGATCTAAAATAACTTTTGCTTGTTGCTATGTACACCCATCCACAAATATATGCCTTTTTACAAATACTCTATAGTTTTCATTTAATAAGGAACTATTATTTTAGGGCTCTTTAAAAATTAAAAAGTGCTTTCATATATGTTTTTAGTTCATTTAATATACAGCCCTTTTCTGAGTTTTATTCACTGATAGGGAAACTGAGGTATACAAAGAACTGTCATGCCCAACATCATACGATTGGTAAGTGACAGATCAGTCTCCTGTTTGAGTCTTCTTACTACCATTTCAGCATGCTCTCAGATATGTCCTATTGGCCTCCTAAATCCTGGTTACCCAATCAGCATCCCACTTGCCCTCTCTACCCTGTCTGGAGGATAGGGAGTGACTTGTGCAGCTTTGCAAATGCCTGAAATAATGGTCAAGGGGGGTGGAGAATGAGGAGGATGGTACAGAAGTATCTGAAGAAGCCTGGGAGTCAGTAGCAAAAGGCAGAGGAGTAAGAGGACAAGGCCTTTTCCTCCTGAGTGGTAGAAAGAACACTGAACTTGGGAGTCAGGAGAAACCAGCTGGAAACCCCTCGTGCAGCTAAATCACTGCTTACAGCATACATAAGACTTCTCTTGTCTAGGAGGGGATTGATGGCTCTCCTGCTGTAAAATTCTCCTTTATATACTTACGAAAGAAAGAACAATGTCTACCCTTGGCACTCTGTATGGTACACAGGCGGGGCAGTATTCCTAGAGGATAGAGTGGATTGGTGAGACCCCCAACTTCTATCTTCTATGAAGAGAACTACCCTAAACTGCCATTTGCTCATCTGTCTGTTCCAATGCTGCAGACTGAGGAAAAAGGTGTGTGAGCACTTTGGGGCCACACAAACATGAGTTGGCGTTCTACAACTGTGTGTCCTGGGGCAGCTGAACAACCTATCCAAGCTTTAATGTCCTCATCTAGGAAACAAAGAAAATATCTACCTCTAAGACACTGTTAATAAAAATAGCTAGTCAGTGGCCAGAATTCAACCTCAGGTCTGATCCTAGAGCCCCAGCTCTTACTGTAAGGGTTAAATGAGACACAAATGTCCAGGGCCCAGTGTGCAGACCCTATTCCTTGAGACGCCCTGGATGGACAGACACGGAATGCAATCAGGTGCTTGCGTTTTTGAAGTCACAGATCCTTTTAGGAATCTGCTGAAAGCTCTCCAGAAAATGCTCCTAAGGCAATGTCAGGGAAGGAGGTTCCCAGACCCCTCTAGTCCATCTGGGGTGGCTTCCTGCACCTGTACCTAAAGTGAAGCGCCCTGGAGAAAATGGGTGAGAGGGTGCTAGGAAGGGCTACCGAATGCATAGTGTAATTACACCTCTCAAACCAGGAAGGACAAGGATAGCCCCCACACCCCCTCCGAAGCTCTCTTCAGCAAGGGGGCTGGCTGGGGAGGAGAGGGACCTCCAGGAGGAGGCAGGCATGCGCTCACCTTGAAGAAGCCCTTGCAGCCCTCGCAGGTGCGCACGCCATAGTGCTGGCAGGCTGCGTTGTCCCCGCACACGGCGCACGTGCCCTCCCCGGACGACGAGCTCCTGTTGGGAGGCGACGGCAGGGTGGGGCTCTCTCCTAGCAGGCTGGACGCGGTAGGGGAGGGCGTGAGGCCCAGCGGCGGGAAGGGCAGCGGGGGTGCCCTCTTGGCCAGCGGCAGCCCGTATGGGTGGCCCTCCAGCGCGGCAGCCTGGCCCGCAGCGGCGGCGGCTCCCAGCGGCAGGCTGAGCGCGGCGGCGGCCGTCGGGTCGTAGCCGAGGTGGTGGCCGCCGGCCGGGCTGGGCGCAGGAGGATGTGGCGACGAGGGCTTGAAGTGGAAGAGCGGGAAGCGCGCGCCGGCCACCGGGGGCACCGCCTTTATCGGTGGGTCCAGCAGCGGGCCGGGCGCGATGCAGCCGGGCGCTGAGGGCAGCGGGTCATCCCACAGCGCCCCCGCCTGCGGGGGGAAGCCCGGCGTGGTGGGCGTGGACGGCGGGGACGGCTTGAAGTACATGGAGGTGCTGGGAAGCACTTCGTCCTCGGGGCCGGAGGGAGTAGGGATGGATGTCTGCTGCTGCTGCTGCTGGTGATGATGGTGGTGGTGATGGTGGTGGTGGTGGTGATGGTGGTAGCCATGTGCGCGCCCACCATCCTCCACCTTGATCAAGGGTCGCGGCCCAGACGGCTGCATTTGGTACAGGCAGGAGGGCTTGAGTTCATAGCTACTCGAGTAGCCCTCCATGAAGGTACTGAAGCTGGGCAGGGATGTAGTGGCAGTGGCCGTGATCTCTGTACTGCCGAGGTCCATGGTCAGCTTGGTGTAGTCTGGGGGGTTCATGATCTCAGTGGTGTATTCCGAGCCGTATGTCTGCACTGCATAACTGGAACCTGGAGGCGAAGGGCTATATTGGGTTTGCACGCAGGGCATATCTGCAGGGACAGGGAAAAGGGTCTCTTAGAAGCAATTCGACATTTATTTCCTAGCTAACAGACAGCATTGAATTCATTGCTACCTAATTTGGGAAAAAGAGGAAATGACATCCTCTCCTCCTTCTGGGAGCATAGAAACAAAGCCCCACACCAGACTTTCTTCCTCCAGGGAAGAAAGCTGAATTCTTGACAGACAAAAGAGGCTGTCAAAACTCAGGCCTACTGGGGGACCTCTATACCCATCTTTTCTTCCTTCCCTGTTCTGTCCTCCATCAGATCTGGGAAACTTGATGTCTTTCCTCATGAGCTCAGAGATGTTTTTTAAAAAGTGGTTTTGAATCCTATAAACTAATTGGGGTGGCCTCCTCAGCCACAACCTGGGAGGACAAAGAAAGCCAGTTGGTTTATTCTCAAAGGAAAGAGGCCATTGGTCTCCCAAGCCACACACATTGATTTGTACACCTATTAGTCAGAAAAGGCACCCTATGAGAGACTTACTGGCCAAAGGAGACAGTGACATTCTAACATTTCATGAGTGCCAACTGAGGCTGCCCACACATGTTGTTTCCCACCCCCTTCCCAACTCCCCCAGACAGGACTAGCAGCCTGCACAAAGTGGACCCCTGTTGATGGCTTCAGCCAGCTAGGTGGCGAGATGGGGACGTGGGCCCAGGAAATGGACTCGGGGGAGTTTGTACCATCTGCAAAGAAAAAGATCAGCAGCTGCAGCAAAACACCCACCAAACCTGCTCTCTGCTCTAATATATATACACATATATATATATCCTAATGCTGACTAATAAAATATATCAGTGGCTATTTAATGACAACAGTTTACAGCTATCATAATAGGCAAGTTAGCCTAGGTACTTCCTTATGAGAAAAGAATTAGCACCCCTGGAAAAGAAGAAAGCAGTTTCTGAATAGATTTGGTTTTCCCTGCCAATTTAAATATATTGAGCCCCTAAAGTGTGGTATTCAGAGTCCTTACTATTGTTTAGAGAGGTTGACCTAGGTGAAATGGTCCTGAGGATTACTAAATGTAGTAGATGATTTATCTAGTTATTTTCCTTTCTTTATGGCTAAATATAAGTGGTAAATCGCACAGTTTCTGGTGGTTGGTTTTTCTGAGCCAAAGGAAAACCAGGTGTTTAATGCCTGTTTGGAGTCTATGGTGTAAAAGGTGTGACTAATAGAGACATGAGTGCTTCATGTATTTCCTTTGACATCTTTCTCTTACCCACATTTCCAAATCTGATTGAGTCATGCATGTATAGGATGAAACCTTGACTTGAAAAAAGGTGATGAGGGCCTGTTAGGAGAAGCAGTAATGAGAGGCCAGTTCAAGCCCTTTTATTTCCCCAAGTAGGGCCTTAAAAACACACTCAGTAGTTTAAAGGTTTACTTATCTTGCTATCAAGGAGGTGAAATGAAAGACTCATCATTTAAAAGAAAGAACACTGCTTGATCTCTCTTTTTTCCTCTCTTCAGCACCTCTAGGATTTCTCCCTCAGTCTTTTCTGTCATTGTTCCCTGTCAATCCCTACCTATTGCTCTTCTTTGTGTCTTTCTGAGGTTTCCAGCTAGAAGGTGAGCTTGCTAGGGTTGCATTTTATTATTCTGTGCTATCTCTGGTGCCTACTCAGGTCTGGCAACTATTATTGCTTTAGCAAATTCATAAAGAGGTGGTACAAACCAAACCTGCAATCCATTCTTGCCAAACTCAAATTTACACCTGGTTTTCGGCTCAAATGCTTTTCTCTTTCCCTCTGAGGTTCAATAATCTAAACTTCTGAACCCTACAAGCAAAAATGCTCGGTACTGCTCTAAATGATTCCATGGCTCTTAAATGCATACACTAGATACAAAAGACAGGCAAAATGAAGACATTTAATGTATAAAAGACCCTAATCTATCGGTATATTTGCATTTTAGAAAAAGTAATTTTGAGAAGTGTATGCTTAATTTAATCTGGCTGCTCCACTCACTAGCAACAGGGTGTGGTATAAAGAGGGGCTTCGTGCAAAGAAGCCACCTGTGCTGTGAAATTCCCGGCCAGCAGTCACTGTCCTGGCACTGGGAAGTCCACCAAGCTGCCGGTTGGGTGTGTGGTTCCCCTACCCACTTCTCCCAGCCCGGGAAGCAGAGAGATGGTGCTTTCAAACCTACCTGGAGGGTATCTTGTGCGCTGAATGGTGGGGCTGGGGGTCTCTCGACCGGAGGCTGAGAGTGTGAGAGGAGGGGGTGTCTGGCGAGGCGAAGCGGCGGCAGTGCTGCCTGGCTCCGCTGAGGGTCCAGGCTCAGGGCCCGGACTTGCCGGGCTGCGCTCTTCCACAGTGGGCTCTGCGGGCATCGGGAGAGAGGACAGAGGTCACAGCAAGACCATGTTGGGTCACTGCAGCCTGGGCTGGGAGCGCGCGCGCGCGCGCACGTGTGTGTGAGAGAGACAGAGGGAGACACACACAGAGACGTACACACACTGCTGGGAAGCCTTTAGAAATACTACGTTAATTACAAACAATTATCATAAGGGTAAGGATGCTTAAGGGTACCAGAGTCCCTCTGGGCAAAAAGCTTCAAACAGCGTTTGGGAAGCTGAGGGAAGGTTGGTCGCACCCACCGCGGTTTTGTGGCACCCGAATCGAGGCTAAAAACAGAGTAGCCTGTCGTCTCCCAGAAATTGATCTCTCTGCCCCAACAATTGATTCCGAGCCCAGGAAGTCAGGAAAACCAAAGAAAGGAGAACACTTGAGGAACGAGTTCCGCCCGCATTGAGGGGTCAGTGAGTGTGCGCAAGCAGAAAACAGCCATTTTCCAACTTCGCCTGCCCCCACCCCTCAAATACAAATTTTACATGTTGCATAGGAAATGCACGAGGTCCGGAACGAATGCATGAATGCCCGGAGGAATTAAGAAAGTCTGAGCTTTTCATTCTAAATGCTAATGGAGCTTCGCTTCCATTAATCGCGAGTTTCGGGGGCCAGGGGTCAAGCAAACAAAAGGGCACAGTGGAAAGACGGCCGGCGCTGGAAGCAAGACTAGGAGGCAGAAGGCGTTCTCAGCTGGTGGGCCAGGCAGAAGCAGGTCCCTTGCACCCAGCGGGGGATGTCCCTGAGGGTGGGCGGCTGCGAGGCTTCGGGCCACCCAGCTGCCCGGAGAGGGCACGTTGCAGAGGGCACGTCGCGGAGGGCACCGGGTGCGGCTCTGGGGTGAACATCAACGGACAGCCCAAAAGAAACTTTGTAGCTGAAAGCCGGGCTTGTCAGGCTTAGAGGACGGATCTGGCTGCCCCAAACTCCGGCCTATAGCGCCCCCTTTGCCCAGGGTGGGCACAGCTCGAGGGTGGGAACGTGCACCGATCCCCCCTAGATCAAACCAAGCCAAAAACCTGTTGGGTGCGCAAGCCGCGGGTTTAGTCTCCCTGCGCCCCTGTGCCCCGGGCTTGCCTGCAGGAAGAGAGAAAGGGACGTGGAGTCCCTAGGTCCGGGAAACCCTCTGCAGCTATCAAATGGGGGAATCCCTTGCCACCTCCAGCTCCAGCCCGAGTTGCTCCGGCGGAAAGCATGCGCTCGCTGTAGCGCAGGCACAAGTGGATCTTCCTAGAGCGGTAGCGTGTGCTTCCCGTCCCCCCGCATCTTAACTGTGGGTGTCCAGCAACGCCCCCCCTCCTCCAGTGGGTGCCCTCATTCCTCTTCCACCCCAGCGGCCTTGCAAGAGTAATCTTTTTCGAGGGGCGGCCTCTGAACTCAGGTGGGCGGGGACCGCATCTTCCCAAGGAAGGGGGGTCCCGTGGAGATCCCAGAGTTTGCAGGAGAGAGCCCCGCCGCCCTTCCTACAGCCCAGCGCAGCGCCCCACCGCTCTCTCCGCCCCTCAAACGGCCGGTTACCTAGGCGAAGCCTCCGCGCCTGGAAACACGTTCCACCGCTCCCGCTCACGGCCGCCGGGGCCGGCAGCACAGAGCCTTGGGGTTGTAAATTAGGAAGAAATAACTAGCTCTGTCAAAGCTCCTTTCTTTCTCGTGGGCAGACGAAAGGAACACCCCCGTGTTCCCCTCCCGGTGGTAAAGTGTGTGGAGGAAACCGTGAAACGCACCATTGTGACCCGGGCTCCTCCGCGGAGTTTCCAACCCTGGGGTGCGGGGGCGGAGGTTGGGCGGGGGCAAGAGGAGTGGAGGAGAGACGGACAGAAAGGGAAAGACAGACATTCTCAGAAAGTCCGACGAAGACTAGACAAACTGCGGGGGAGAATATCTGCGAGCGCGCCGGCCGCTCAGTGGGGGCGGGTGGGCGCAGGCTGAGGGAGCGGGCGTGGAGATTGCCTTGGCCTAAGGAGTCTTTGATAGTCATATTATAAGCATCTTGTTCAGGGAAATTACTCAAATAAAGTAACTTTACGGTGCCCAGGAACCGCGTTGGGCAGCTTCCCCACTCCCCAACTCGGTTCTAAAAAATACTTCCCCGTCGTGGGAAAAAGATCCAGGATAAGATTCACGATGGAATGAACGGCGTCCTGTACCTCTCTCCCGGCACTCTAAGGCCCTGGGATAAGAGCCTGAGATTTCTGATTACTAAACTTGCAGCTTTTCCCTCTGGAGGCACACATAAAAGGCAATCTCCAAGAACGTTCTTGGAAATCAAGAGACAAATGCTTTCCCCTTCACGACTGCCCCGAAGCTGCTAGCAGATTCAAGAGGTGCCTTTGGAAGTCAATCTCCGCAGCCTGCGCTCGCCTGACCTCTTTCCTTTCAGGACCGGGAACTTTCATTTCTACTAACAATAAAACATTCCGAGCAAGTTCTCCAAAAAGCGCTAGTTCTGTCAGTGAAAAGTAAACCATGCCTGTCTCACACCGAGCCAAGGTCTGGCGGAGAGGGACAACGTCCCCACGCGTGTCGGGGCGCGGGAGTCGGCAATTACACCCCATTTACCTCCGAAGGGAAAAGTGTAAACCGACAAGTCCGCGACGCTGGGCAGACGTGCCTAGTGGAGCCCCGGGCTCATTTCAATACAATAAGCCACATTCCTACAATTACGCTCTTTCCTGAGGTCCTCTGAGAGCCTCTGCAAACTCTGCCCGCCACTGCCCAGACCCCTTCCCTCCCGAGCTTCCTTCCAGGGAACCTGCTCGGTGTCACCAATTAGGTACATTAACTTGAACCCACCAGAGCCCCTATTTTCAATCCTACTTAAAAGGCAGGAAAATTACTGCCGTTCATCACCGGAGCTGCAACTCCCTGCCGTTGCCGCCGCAGCCGCCGCCGAGAGCATCATTACCATGACAACTAGAGCCGAAATACCCTGAATTACAGCGCTAGAGCCGCTACAGCACAAATCCCGGTTCTCCTCTTTGTTAGAAGCTTTTCGCCTCTTCGAATGGGGGGAGGAATCCCACGAGCTCTAAAGATACCCGCGGGCCAGCTACACGGGAAAAGTTTCAGATCAGAACCTACAGGCTGCTCCGCGAGCAAAGGCGAAGCGGGGAGGTGAGGTGGGGAGAGGGAACCTCACACTCAAAGTTGTCAATTTCAGGAGCGACGCTTCCCAGCAAGCCAACTTTTTAGCAAGTCCCCTTAATAACTGGGCGATCTCATACGTACTTGAATGCTGTGGCGGTTCCGTCTTTAGAGCGAGTTTCTAGAGAGCTGTTCCGAAATCTGCACTGGGGGGCGAGTCACAGCTGCTGTCCTGGAAGGGCTGAGGTGTACAAGCCCAGCAGCTCCCAGAGGCGGTAAGCGGCTGGTGGGGGATGCTGCGATCCCGACTCATGAGAAAGCGCCGCCGAGAGGTTCCGCGGGAGTCCTGGCTTGGGCTGCCACCAGGGGGGAGGATGCCGCCGCTGTACCCACCTCCACGGCCACCGCCAGCGCTGTCAGCGTTGCAAAGTGAGCCCGGGAGGGGCGTCCGGCTGCGGCGCCGCGCTGCACCGGCGAGGGCGCAGGGCAAGAGGGGTGTGAGCGCGCGGGAGAGAGTGGAGTGTGTGTGTGGAGCGTGTGTGCGCGCGTGTGTCTGTGTGTGCGAGTGAGGGAGCGGGTGTGAGCGCGTCTGTGTATGGGGAGCGGAGGAGGAGCAGGAGCTGGAGGGGTGGGGGGCGGGAGGCAGGAGACTCCGCTCTCCCGGCTGCGCGTTCGCTTGTTCTCTCGGCACGTCATTTATGCCACAGGAGCCCTAGCGGCCTCTCCATAGAGTGCCTGGAATGCGAGACGTCAATGTGACGCCATGGGACGCTACGTCACCCTCCTCCTCCCTCCCCTAGCCCAGCCGGTTCCGCGTGTGCGAGGGAGGGTGTGTGTGTGATCGCGTGCGCGCGCGCGCGCTTCCAGGCCAGTCGCAAGGCTGCACAATGGAAACTGCTCTGTACCTCCCGCCCCGGCCCGGGGGCTTTTCGGAGCCTTGGCTGCCAACTCCTTTGCAGCTGCGCTGCTAGCCTGGGCGCGCGTCTGCGGGAGGGTGTAGCAACCTCCTGCGGGTCAGGCGGCACCGCCCAGCTGTCAGGCTCGGGTGGAGTAGAGTTGGAGGAGTGCTGCTGGCGCGCCTCCGAGGCTGCCCCAAGGCACCCAGCCCGGGCGAGGGGGTAAGGGAGAGGACAGCTTTTCCGAAAGAGAAGGCTCTTCCAGCCAGCTTCTCCGAGTGACCTGGCAGCCGGTGCAGAAGTCTGGCACCAGCCCGAAGACTCCCCGAGGTGCAGCTGTGCTTTCCTCTTGCAATGTAAAGCTGTTTACTTCTATCGGGTCCTCTGCCTAATTCCGGCCCCGCTCCCCATCATTTACTGGGTGCGTATTTCGCACACGGATGTAGATGGCTACGGGTTTTATTTCTTTGCACTTACGGTGTGGGTTTCCTAAGTGAACACATTATAACCTAAAGAAGTGCACGTCCATCATCCACAAGCGCGCTGCAGCAGAAACTACTTAATGTGTATAAAACAAACGCACACGTGTTGAACAGCTGAGCTGTTCCGACTGTTGCAAATCTTCCCTCCTCCCCAGCACCCGGTCAGAAATGGAACTCTCAGCTCGCACTTTCACTTTTTGATGATTGTAGTTGGGGCCCCTCTCATTGCCCAAATTAAACATTTCGAAACCAATCAACAGGATTTATTAGTCAGTCCCTCGCTAGGGGATTTGCTCCGGTCTCCTGGGACACATTTGTCACAAAAAGGGTGTGCCAAAAGCCTGGGCAACTCCATGTGGGAGAGAGCAGGCAATTTCTTTCTGACAATGGTAAATTTCTTGCTGAAAACAAAAACAAAGACTTATCAGAGTAAGGACTTCTAGCTCAAAGTTTGACTGATGTGTGAAAGTAATCACTTTGGTAAATGAATTTTTAGGAGAAAATATATATGAGTGATGAATGCAGACAGACCCCACGTAGTGTATTTGCATTGGTTGTGACAATTTATTTCTTTGACTTGTCCTAATCTGCATGTTGGGGGAAGGAGGAAGAAGAAAGGATTCTATGGTAGGTATCCCAGAATTACAGACGTTTAAGAATTGAAGAAGGTTCGAGGTAGGACTAGAAACTTGAAAACGAGACTACATATAGATATATACATCATGTATATCTTTCTTCGCCTCCACTTCCATTTCAGACAGAGTGATGTGGAAAAGACCGTGGGAGGAGGCTCTGAAAGTGGACCCGGTCGAGAGAGGAACGGAGCTTCTGCACTACCGCGGGTTCCAATCCAGTCTCGGAAGGAAGGAGGGCGCTGCTACATTGTATCCATTCAAAAGCTGAAGGGGGGAGCAGGACCTGGAGCCGCGCGCCGCTGACGCACGCGAGGCGCGTGATTGACGCAGGCGATGTTTCTAAATTCGGCGGTTGGCCGGGCCCAGCCGCCGGCGCGCGCCGCAGATAGCGGAGTAGGTTCCCTTCGGTCACCCCCGCCCCTTCTCCATTCAGCTACGCACGGGGCGGGGCGGGGCGGGGCGGTGAGCGCGCGGGCGCGCGGGGATCCGGTCGAACCAAATATAGTCGGGCCTGGCTATTTTTAGCTGGGCCTCGGGCGCGAGCGCGCCGCGTGAGGGGGCGCCCTGACCCCGCCAGCAGTGCAGAGGGGGCGGGGGCGGAGTCGCCATCTTGGACTCGGCTCGACCCTGTCTGGTGATCGGCGACGCTGGGCCAGGCTCGGCGCCTGGGGTCGGGGTGAGTGGAGGTGAGCTTGGGAGTGAGGAGGGGCGGGCAACTCTCTGTCCCGTGCGCGCTGTGAGGACTGAGGAGGAAGAGGCGCGGGGTACGCGCTGAGCAGTGGCGCGGGCGACCGAATGGGGCGCGCAGTCCTCGCGTGCGTACTTGTGTGTGTGTAGAGGGTGGAGGGACGGTGATCCCCGCCCGCCCAGTCGTCCTGCCACCCGGCAGCCTGGCCAGCCCAGAGTCGCGTGGGGGCGGAGCTGCCCGCGGCCACCACTTCCTGAGAGCCGGGGATACCCCTCCCGGACGTCACGGAGGAGCCGAGGCGGCGGTGGCGGCCCGGGGCTCATCCTGCACTTGCATCACGGGTGCAGCAGCTGCTCTGCTCCTTTGTGGCTTTTTCCCCTGTTGAGTAACTGCTTTGTTAACTGAAAATACCATGACGGGCCAGTGTGATCACCAGCTCCAGACCTCAAAGAAAGTGAAGCTGTCAGGCAAGAAGAGGGAGACTCCCCCAGCCGGCTGCGATGGTATCTGGTGGGTGGGTGTGTAGAGAAGCACTTGACAGTTTCCACGTATTACTTCATGCCTAACTCTTCACCCCCAAGAAGGTTTAAAAATACTTTTATTTCCATGCTGTAAAATTTCATCTGTGTTCTGCACCCTGCCATTCCTCCTCCAATTTAAAACTCTCATGCAGAATTGGAATCACCGTAAGCAGGAACCCTAAAATTAGGTACAATTTTTAGGAAACATGACATCTTTCAACACATTTATTGAATAAACTACGTTTTCGAAATGTTAATTATAAAAGGTAAGCCTTGCCCACTCAGTGTCGTTATAAAGCTACAAACCAAGTTTCTTCATGTGAATTGGGCTCCTTCAAACCGTTTTAAACCAGTATTCTTGTTTACTTTAAATTAAAAAAAAAATCCATCCCTGGCAAAGCATCTCTAGGTAAAGCATTTTTTGTCTATTAGTATCTTGGTAGTTAATTCTCTTCTCTCCCCTTCCCTTTTCTTCCACCTTCTGCCTCCTTTTCATACTTTTCTTACTACTAAGTCACCGACCTGGGTTCCTCTACTGCTCTGTTAGACTAAGGGCCGTTGTCTGACTCGGCTGAGCCAATCCGCTGTTCCTGTCTCAGCGCTTCTATGGTAGGAATCTGGAGAGGTTCCAGTGGTCATTAAGAGGCAACTTTTTTTTACACAAAGGCGGTCATGGAAGCAGAGACACCACGGCTGTCTGACATACTAGGATACCACCCTCTGCTTAATCTGAGGTACACATGTACACATACACAATTTTTTAGGTGACCTAAATGGAATAAATTTTTCTCTGTTCCTTTTATCAGCTCTGTATCTTTTCAAAAGTTTGATTTATTAAAAACCAGAGATATTGTTCTGTAAGGCATATGTAGTATGACTTTCAGCAATCTAAGTTACCTTTTTAAAGTAAAAAAAAATTATTGAGTGAAACAATGCTTTGTAGTTAAATTTCTCTCTCTTTTTTGGGGGGGGAAATCAAATAGAATAAGATCACCATAATCTGTTAAATATTGAAAACCTTTCTGATTCAGTCCTTTTTCTAGAACAGGGACATTCATGTGTGGTCTAGTTTACACAACAAAGTAAAGAAAGCAGTTAGTTTCTGCTTTCATAATGCTTAGGACTGCCAGTCAGTTAAAAACTCTTTCTCTAAAGTAACTATTACGGAGTCACTAAATAATTAACCTTTCATTTTGTTTTGGATTTGTAGGCCTAATTGCCTGAAAGAAAGAAAGTGCTCTTTCTTGGTAAATAAAATAATGAAATTTGGGTAAAATTCCTTGTATGTGATATAAAACAATTGTTTTAACAAAGTGGGATTTACAAATTGTTTTAAATGCTCTTCTGATGAAGCAGTCTTGTGAATTTTTCTAATACATAAAGAAAGGTGATGATTCTTATTAATGCAAAGATTAGGTGAGGTAAAGTGAAATGAAAATTCTGAGCCAGAAGTTGTTACCTAAGGTGATAATAAGAAAAATAAAAAAAAAAAAAAAAGTGTGCAAATTCAAGTTTTCTAGAATCAGTGGAGACATTCTTCACTATATTTAATATACATTTATAAAATTTAGAAACTTTAGCTGACATTTATACACTTAAGATATACCTGGGGTTATTGTAGTAATTTTCTATCTGACCTACCTGCATACCACCCCTTTTTTAGCAATACTGTCATTGCCAGATTAGTCTTCCTAAAATATAGCTTTTATTATTTTACTCTAGGACTTAAAAAGTCTTCAGCAGCTGTATATTGTCTCTAACATCAAACCTAAAGAGCTCCTTTATTTCCACAAAATTTCCCTATTCTAGTCAAGCTGGTATTCTCACTGTTCTTCAAAGATCCTTTTAACCTCCCACATTTTTTATAGTTTTCCTTTTTATGACATTCCCTCCTCCCCCTTCTTTTCTACTAATTGAAATTTTACCCTTCCTCTAAAACTAGCTCAAGAAGTGAACTCAGATTGTGCTTTAGTCTGTCACCAAGTTCTCATTTTACTGCCTTCTTTTTGTGTGTCGTAGTCTATTCCTTTGTAAAACTATAAGCTTCAAAGGCACACTTCACACAACTTTGAAATCTCTATGGCACCTAAGAATGTTCAGCATAAAATATTGCCTCATCTAATGTGAATACAGAGAGCAACCAGAATGTAAGTAACAAATTATATACATTCAGATTTTCTTAGCAGGAATGGACATATAGGAGATCATACATTAGTTGTTTTCTTTAGTTCAGCTTTGATTCTCCTGATTGAACATACCTTGTCGAGGTGCCCGCCACAAGCCCAGACAGCTGCGTGGTACAAGGAAATGGCAGTTTGGCTTGTACGTGTGTTACATCTGCGTAGGAAGATTTGCTATGATTTTTTTTCCTGGTAGACTTTTGGTTTGACTCTTTTTCTAACCTTTCCCCCCCTCAATTTGTACTTTCTCTTATGGTGCTTTCTCTTAGTGATGAACTAGGTGCAATAGGCTAGAAGG